CCTGATGGGAACCAGTAGGATTTCTGAAAAGATTACTACAATTTTCGTGAAAGATAATTTGATTGACTAGAGTCTAGCTTTTATCAGCATTCAAATGATTTACTTTTCAACTTGCGTTGGCTTTATTTTTCCCTCAAAATTGCAAGATTTTTGCGCTAACATCGCACTAATCTAACGTCAATAAGCTCACCAACACGAAGAACCACGGTTTCTGCGGAACACCCTCACCGCCCGGATAGACAGCTTCCACATACCATGTGATCAGCATTAAGTACAATCCATCTACTATCAACATCACGAAGCAGTGCCCGATGGTAAGCCGTTGATCCGGGCTAGGCGGAGTGAAAATTGAACCCCATTTAAGGCCATCCGCTGAAATTCGATCATGTAGGAGAAAATAGAAATTTTAAAAGTTGAGCCTAAATGTTTTGTGAAAAACGTTTGGTTACCCCTACCTTGTGTTTCATATTGCGATAAGAACTGGATACCGTATGCCATTGCAATGTCGGGATTTAAACAATTCACCATTCGTACACCGAATGGATACGGTGCCACAGTGTCGAAGCTGCTAAAGATTGAATACCAGAAATATAGTAGCATCCAGCCAACGACAGCTATCAGAGTGGCAGCAGTTCCTTAAATCCCAAAAATTGCATACAGGTAAGTAGGCATGAAAAATGAGGAGCCGACCTGACTGCATGAAAGTGGAGATGGCGAATGCGAAGTAAAGCGCATCGAAAGCATAGAGTAGAAAAAAGACAAACATTATACTGCCATCAGATCTGAATTACGAATGAGTACTTAATATTGAACATTGTAGATAAAAAGCGTTTTTATAATTTTTTTCCACCATGCCGCCCCAGCTGTCTTCATAATTAAAAAGCATCTTACAAATTTGGCGAGGTTCCTTAAAATGAAAATTTTGCGAATAAGAACCTACTTCACGCTAATATAATGTAGTAGGATTGTCAGCACAATGACAGATACCACAAGCTTCACATAATTCGTAATGAAGTGGCCAACCCAGTGGATCCACTGGCTTAATCCCATCACTCGCATATACTCCTGAGATAAATTATAATAAGTGAACACTTAATGAGAAGATTAAAAAGTCGTAATAATTGATGAGATTTTCATGCATTCAATGTACTGTACAATAGATTTTACATCAATTCCTGAGAACTGCTCTTTTATTTTGGATATCTTTTGCCGAAGATTTAGCAAGATTAACACTCATATAAATTGCAAACAATCACCAACCTTCAATCGGGTCTCCTTCTCTTCTACCACGCTTTTCACTATGTATATCACGCTTGTCATATAAGAGAAGACAACTATGACAGGTAGAAAAAAAGATCCTACTTCAATGATTTGTGATTGATACGCTGGAAATGGGAAGCGACCAATCTATAATGATAAAATGAGTGTAATTAAAGCATTAATAAGAATGATTTTTACGGCTTAACCAATAAAATTATGTATTTAAAATGATTACTTTATTCATTGAAATTGAAATTTGTTATAAAATTTGTCAAGATCGAATATTGTAAAAATCGTTTGGTGTTTTCTTTTCCAGTGAAAAGACTGGCATAGCCCCACCCCAACGGCCCTTTTTGTGGCCTATTTAGGTGACTGTCCATAGCTATCATCTTTCAAGTTATCAAGTAAATGCTATAATTTATAATGCGAATTTGTTGTTTCCAACAATTTAAAATTGTCAAATTGCTGAGCTGTTATCATTGCGAACAAGTTGACCAGCAGACAATTAAGAACCCTATTTTTAGTTTAGTATTCAAAATCAACTAAAATTGGACATATAAATTTATAATTTAAATTGGTGGAGATCAAGATTTTAGCATGGGAATATAGCACTATGAGTTTTCAAAGCTTCTCCACCAATAAGGAATAGTATTTTCCGCATAG